TAGCTAATTAATAAAGAGAAGTGTCCTCTCTTATGTCCGTGGTCGACGCTACGTACTGTACATAGAGAGGGCCTCGACACGCTAGCTAGTAAGAAAATGAAGGGAACCATTAAGTACAGAAGTTCGTCATGCATATCGAGAAAAGTGATCGATCGACCTCTCCTTCTCCGAGAGATTGGTCGAACAACAAGTTTTCGTATTATCTATCGACGCTACTGGCTACATACATATACAATATGTAAAATCTCTTACAATCCCCTAGCAATTGAAATCAATTTCCACATGATATTCTCCGGCTTTATTGATGACGTGGTCAAGAAAGAATCCTGCCAATTCCTCTTGAATTGCTTTCATGCGATCTTGTTCTAGGAGTTCATCCCGCATCTGCCACGTCTAATTTGAAGAAGGGGGTTAATACATATATGAATGAAACTCAACAGAAATGATGGTGTAATAAATTGAAATTGTGAATATTATTGCTTACGCACTTCATATTATCTTGTAGAGTAGCCCCTCTTATGTTTTAAAGTCGAGTTGTAGATGAACTCGCACACGTAGTATCCACAGAAATCATTCCCTTGTTCCTGCCACAAGCACTTTATGAGAAATAGAGGTCAATCAAACTGATAATGAAGCATTATAAATGACATTGATGAAAGTACGGCTATAGAATCAACGGGAGATGCGCGCAACTAGCTACCTAGTAGTACTTACTTTCGGGTATGTATATCGCAGCTCCTTCGGCAGTCCCGGAACTTCTGTGGTGAACTGTTTCCAAACCCTGCAAGACAAAGAAAATAAATATTATTACTTGAGATATCAGGAAATGAACAAAAAGTTGCCGATATGGTGTGATAAATGATCGATTGAACTTACTTGTTGAGTATTTTAGTCATGTCCGCATAGGTTTGGGGATCTTTTCTTCTCGAGTCTAAGACGTTTACTACTCCCCGCTCAATCTTAATCTCCAGAAAAAACATAGTGGAATCTGCGCACGCATGCATAACTCATCAATTATTTACTATAACCTCGCTCGAGTAATAAGGGAAACCGAATATGCACACGACAGTAACACTCACCTGGAGTTGTAAGGAAAGAGTATTAAATCTTTGTTTTGATTTTTGATCAACGATTGTAGCAAGTTCTCCTCGGCCTCTGCGGGGTGCTTTTTAACCAGAAATTCATCTATGATATTTGTGTTAACGAACCCAATATCATACATTTCTTGTTTTTTGCACTCGACGATCTTCAATTTGCATAATATAGTGAAGATAATTAATTATAAATACATGCAATGAAAGAGCCGAGCTATATATATAGAGAGACTTAATGACAGAAATAGTACTTACAGACAGTAGCAAAAGACCATTAGTTTATCGAGGACCTTTTGATTGAAGAACGCGAAGAACTCATCAAATGGAACAGTCAACAGATCATTTGCAACGAGGTCGTGCTCCTCTTTAATATTCAGATACAAAGCATTCGTCCCCCCAGACTCTCTGCAGGTTTCATGTACCAATTATGGAATCTTCACATCATAGTTGTTAGAGATTTTTCATCTTTGACGAGAGGCTTCCCGTACTCGTATTTGTGTTCGTCCACCTCCAAGAAATCAGGAAGTTGATCGTCAGGCAGGTAATCTCCAAGATTGCCATAACCGGCCACCGTCCCCGGAGCATTAGACACATTGAGCGGGGGGCACGATTGCTGTGCTTGTTCGCCGAGCTGGGCAATTTTTTTCCCAGCTGCTCGTTCTTTTAACCTTTTATCACTGACAGTACTTCCAGACCGTTGGGCTTCGAGATATGTCTGTTCAGTAATGCGCTGATAGTTGGTTCTCGGCGGAGACTTTGGTGGTTTCCTCAGGGCATCGATAGTGCGCTTTGCTTTCACCGGATCTACCTTCTCCTCCGGAGGTGGATGTCTCTTTGCTTTCACCCCTTCAAAGAAGTCCTTCACGTGGGCCCGCACGATCGTCTCGTTTTCCTTATCGGTCCTCTCATACGGTAACTTCTCTAGAGGCTTGAGAGGTGGACCGTATCTGTATTGCCTCCCGCCTCTGCTGGCTGCTATACTGCTAGACGCCGGAGCAGACGGAGCGGCTGTGGCGCCTGTCTTCTTTCGTGCTTGCTTAGGCGGAGGAGAAGGACTACGACGCGCCGGAGCAGCCGGGGCGGCGGCGGGTCTCTTCCGCCCTTGCTGGCAAGGCAGAGAAGGAGGAAGGTGCTGGCTGCTCGGGCGCGCCGGCGCAGGCGGAGAAGGAGGCGGAGTGCCATCACGCGCCGGAGAAGGAGGAGGCTGCTGGTTGCTCGGGCACGTCGGTGCAGGCGGAGAAGGAGGCGGAGTGCCACCATGCGCCAGAGAAGGAGGAGGCTGCTGGCTGCTCGGGCGCGCCGGCGCAGGCGGAGAAGGAGGCGGAGTGCCGCCACGCGCCGGAGAAGGAGGCCCAGTGCCTGATCGACACTCGCGGGAGGAGGAGGCGGTGGAGGAGGCGGAGTGCCCTGACTCGCCGGAGGAGGAGGAGGAGGCGGAGGCGTCCAGTTCGGAAGGTTGATGAGCTCCTTCCGCCATAGGCATGGAGTCTTCAGAGCAGAACCCACCCTAGTCTCCTCTTCACCGGTAGGGTAGTCAAGCTGGAGGTCCTCAAATCCCTCCGTTATTTCGTCCACCATCACCCTGGCATATCCTTCTGGAATTGGCCGGCAATGAAAAGTTGCGCCTTTTTCAGTAGGATAAACAGAGCCAACGGCCGCCTTGACCTTCAAATTCATCCATCGCGTCATTAGGTGGCAATTTTGAGTCCCCGTGATAGCATCCACGGGATAGCTGGCAGGAGCCGTCAAGACATGCTCCGGTTGAAGCAGCTCCGTGGAAGCCACGCTGCTTCTCCGCTGAGATGGCGGGGTAGCTTCGGGGGAAGCTTCGGCAGGTCGTTTTTCGCGATCTGCTTCTTGTTCCTCTAGCCCCATTACCCTTTCGTGCAGCGCCTGCAGTTGGCTCTGCTCTAGTTTCTTCCTCCTCTCGTGGGTTTTGTAACCCCCTGCGTCCGGGAA